TTGCTAATTTTCTAAGTGAAAGTAAGTTAACACACTTCTGCACATTTTAATGTACAATTAATGTTTATTTGCCGATTTTAACATATTGGGGAGAAAAAAGATCATAAAATGTGGCCTGTGTGAAAAAAAGAAAAGTGCCATATTCGAGTGTGCTCTCTGTAGAGGATGTTTACTTATTTACAGTTAGAAAATAAACAAAACATTTTGACAAACTTTTGCATTTGGTTGTAACCAACTAACATATGGTGGACCAGAGGTGGGACGTGTAACTCAATCAGGCCGTCTGAGGGGCAACGGCCCAGCACTGATGCACTGGATCTGCCTGCTTGGATATATATTCTCCTCGTGCCCGGGTCCCTCGCTGCCGCTCTCCGACCGTGATCGCTCCAGTAAAGTGCTGACATTTTCGCTCTGGCGGTGGGGGACGGGGGACGGGGGGGGCGTCACCCCTCACTCTTGATGCTAAAAACAAAGTGTGCCCGAGTTCGCCGCCCTGTTGTTCCTCCATTCTTCCCTCTTCCCGCCTCTCTCTCATTCTCTCATCCTCTCAGCCCCGTCGGCAGCGGCCGCGTGGCACCATGCCCTCTCCAGCTAGTTCTTAAGTGATGGCGGAGCGGCGGCTAAAGATGAAGCTCTAATGGCTTTCACACAGATTGCTAAAGGCCAAGGTGGAGGCGGACTGAGAGGAGCTCGTAGTGCTCGTACAGACGCTCTCTCTCTCTCTCTCTCTCTCTCTCTCACTCTTCATCTCTCCCTCCCTCTCTCTCTCTACGCAGGGGTCAAGCGCAGGAGAATATTCCGCATGCTAAACAGGAGGGGAGAAGGTCGCGCTCGGGCGTTTTCATACAGTCCAATGACAGGCCAGACTGCCCGACGCTGCGGCTCGCTGTTACACCACTAAATCAAGGCTCTCTTTCCAGCTAACGCCGGCCACAGCGCCGGCCGGAGGACACCCAAAGACAACAAGGACAAAGAGCCGCGGCGGTGAGTGACGGAAGGGGCGCGGCGCACTTTATGATTATATGGAAAACACTCAGTTGATTAATGCGCCCCTGCCGCGTGCTAGGACAACTCCTCAAACTTGACAAAATACGCTGGGAAAATAAGCTGGAGGGTTGACTTTAATCTGACCCTTGACCCCCGTCCCCAAGCACACATAATGCATTTTAAGAGGTGAAAGATGTGCTTTGCTTCGCTTCAGGACGCTGGGAGGGGAGAGCTACTTTCAGATATCATTTATAACTATTAAAAGATGGTAAAAGGTGTGTTTTTTTCTCTTTTTTTCACGACTGTAACAGACTGTAAGAGGGAAGCGCCTTAAACTCAGCGTCTCATCACGCCGTTATGAAACTGAGGCTGTATTACAGAAACAGCCTAACTCTGAAATCTCGTCTGATCTGTTTAGTCACCATGACAACGACAGTTGGGATCAAATTTAGGACAGTGTCACAGAATAACTTTTCATGTTCATAATCCAGATAAAAACAGACCCCATTGGAGTCTTAACTTCTGTTTTAAGGGTATATTTTACTGTTAGCTACATAATGGATTTCTACTGAAAACAGAGCGTTACTGTAGTTAATCACCCATGATTGGATAACAAGATCATTCGTTTTATCATACACTGTTACAATTATTCATATTGTATCACAGCATTTTCATTTGTGAAGTTGATTATTTTCTAACTCTGCAGTTTAAAGAAGCCCAGACAGACTTCTGAACAATTCACTTTGACAACGAGAGCTTATAGATGTCTATTAGCTGTTACTTCAAAATTAACTAATCATATAAACTAATGGGTTACTCATCATTATGTCACATATTAACAATAATTAATAATTTTGACAAATAAGGACCATTCTACCAAATCACTACCACGGTAAAAAAATATAGTATTCAGTATTCAGAGGTTAGACATTTACAAGGATTATGCTACAACCTATTTAAATACAAGACATTAACTAAGACAGTAACAAGACAAATATACACAAAATTATCCTTTATAGGAAATTTTCTACAGGGGACGTCTCCAAACTCTAACAACTTACACTTTATTTGTGTTTAAAGATCTAGATTTGAAAGATTTAGATTTAATTTAGATTTAGATTTAACTTTAATTTTTAAATAAAAAAAATATATATTTATTAAAAAATGCTGTCCTACATTTTCATGTCACTACTGTAACACACAGCGTTTTTGTCCATAGGCGGAGTCTTATTTTAGCCACACCCTGCATTTTAGAGCAGGAAGTGCAGCTGCATCCCTGTCCCTCATGGCCACATGGTGAGCAGTTGGATCCCAAAGTATGAAAATCAGTGAACTGTCACTTCCAAAATACTGTTTGCAATTAAGCAAACTTTGTTTTTTAATGAAAAATATTATGGTTCTATGTTTTATGTTCTGTGTTTGCTAGCCATGTACTGGCGAGCGTTTTTGAGTTCTGCTCAAATTGAGCTAAAATTGTATCATTAGTGTTTCCACCTGTTTCTATTCTTGTCTTTGGTTTAAGTAAATCTCATGTTTTAGTTGGCTGTTGTTTGTCATCACTTGCTTAATATTAGTTTGCAGGTTAGTTTGTTTTTGCCCCTTACATGGCCAGGGCCCAAAGCTTTATTACACACTTCTATAACCTAAGAATAGCTCAACCAGTTTGTACTGAAGTCCCTGTAGTTACTGTATAATAAGCCTTAGCTTATTATGTAACAAGCCTGGATTTTTAAGGAGTTAATAAAACTAGTCAACATATACCTGCATCCTTAATGTTGGTCTGGTCTTTCTGAAGGATATAAGGAGGACAAATATAAGGGTCATTCTACAGAAACGTCCACTTTTCTATCTCTCTATAGGAGTCACTGGTGTTACTGATCCTCATTGGTGTTACACATAATAAAGGAACACCAGAGACAAATACATTTTACAAAATAACTGCTACAGAGCATCAAACCACATGTTGTCAATCATGGAATATCCACTAAAATATGAAATTTAATCCATTTGTATTCTATTTTTTCACAGTTACCTCAGAATAAAGTGGGTCACACCAGTGACTTCAGCTAAAAGCTTCATATGAAATCATGAGCTAAATGAGAAAATCTCTGATAACTGAAAGACTCAGTGGACTCACCATGAGCTTTTCTTCATGGATCCTCAGAAAATAGGTAAAAGGAAGTCAAGTGATGTCATCAGTGTGACTTTTATTTCAGAATAAGAGTTTTATTGTTATGCGGTAACACCAGTGACACGACTCCTGGGGACAACTTTCATTGTATAATATTTATAAATATTTTATAACATTTATTTGGCATTTGTTTACTTTATGCAATTTAATTTATACATTCCATAGTCATAGATTATTCGTATAGATTATTGTAGTTAAAATTGCAGAAAAAACATGTTTTTTTCTTCTAAATATGGCCTCAGCCTTCACACATGACTGTGAGGACGAGCTCTTCTGTGGGGCTTGGAATTCTATATGATTGATTTAAAAACCAATATTGCTAAATTGATAGCTGAAGAAGGTGTAACTGATAAAAGGACTTGTTGTATTTTAAAATATAAATAAATTATAACACTAACATGTTTTTAGGTGTAATATATCTGTAAACGCTAGGGACACAAAAATGGACGTAGAATGACCCATTTAAATATGCAGCCTGTTACTTTATCAACTGATAACGATTACATTCCTGGTTAGTTATGAGTACTAATGAAGGAGAAGGCCAATATATCAGTGTGAACTGTAACGTGTGCTATAAAGTTATGCGAATATACTATTTAACGATGAACAACTCTGAATACCTGGTTAGTACATGATTAATGAACTGTGAAGTAACGGCTAACAGATGTCCTGTAAACTATTTATTACAAATCCAATATGTAGCAATATAATTGCAATACTAGTATTCTGTCCACATTAGGGGTGTATCAAAAATGTAAAAATATTTAAAAACGCATGTGCTTCTCGTTCTCTTCCAATGGCCTCTCATTTGCCTTCTTCTGAGGATTCCACTGCTTCAAAACTAGGCATCTACCCTATGGACAAGCTCACTTTCAAATGACTAGAATGACCTTGTTTTAATGGGCTTTTAAAGAAAATTCTAGGGGTTGTGATTTTTGATGTCTATTTTTTAAAAATCATATAAAATGTGAAAAATCGATTTGATCTTGACCTCAGAACCAAAAATGGTACTGAATCTGAAACCATGCGTATTGTACCACCCCTTGTCCGGACTGTCCAACTGCACTCTACACAATGAATGACAGAACAGAAAGTGTCCTGTGGGGGATTGTGGGAAATAGGAGAGGATTTCTCTTGTCCTCCAGGCGTGAGCAGACGCCCACCGCCTCATTACTGTGCCTCTTTGATGAAACTTCGTCGCATTAAAGGTGAGCACTGCCACCTTCACTCCTGTCCCCGCCTCGTTAGTGTGTATGTATGCATTTGTGCGAACGTTTGCCCGCGTGTCTGACCCAAGGACAGACCCTGTAATGAGGGCAGAGGGCATGTTTTTTTTAATTGAGGACCACTGTTACAAAACTCTGGTTCCTGCAGATGAGAGGTTTGTAGTCCCACAAAACATTCCACTGACATATTTAATCATAATAATTTAAAGTCGCTGTCCAATAAGGTGATGTGCTTCTCATGTCTCTCACTAAACAGTCCCACTGATATGCATACAGGCACAACCTTGCCTGTGAACACAGGACACAAAACGTGCAGGCTTACCTTCGGGCAGGTCTACCTTCTGCTATAAAACAGAACATACACAGGGGAGCCTGACAATGTGGTCAGCAGACAAGACCGTTCCTGCGCTTTACTGACTGATGTTTGTTGGTTTCTGTTAATTAGCTCATTTTTTTCACCCGATAGAGAGAAATCTGGAAAACCTGAATATCGGCCAAACCCACCAGTGTAGCTATGAGGGCTAAAAAGCATAACACAGATATTATAGTATAACACAGCATAAAATAGGTATTGTGTGTGTGTATAAAGCACTCACTGGACGTAGATGCTGTGGGCATCTAGGACGGTGATGACAGGCGCCTGCACGTAGGATGGGGCAAGCTGACCGGTAAAGAGTGTGACCACGGAGCTGTTCGTGCAGCCTGCCTCAGTGCAGGCACTCAGCAGCAGCTTGTGTGGAGTGTACACACCTAGATCTGAACACACACAGAGCACAACGGTCAACTACACATGCGTACAGCGAGGGGAAACAAGTTTACCCACTTATAAATATCAACAAAAAAAAGCATGTATTCATAATCATTGACTGTATGAACTGGAAGTACATTAAATAAAAACAAAAGTGTCTGAATACTTGTTTCCCCTCAGTTCATATGCTTTGATAAAACCAGGTGAAACACAAACGCAAACACAAGTCGTAAAAGTCCAACAGGTATCAGGGATGCATAAAGGGTTTATTCTGATGGATTAGTATTGTAGGTATGAGCACAGCTTGGGAGTATGGCACAAATATAATACCAGGGTATTTTGAGACACTTAATAAAGCAATCTAGTTGGCTTAAAATTCAAAAAGATTTAAAATGTTTAAATTAATTAAGTTAAAACATACAGCACAGTGCTAAACAATGCAGCTACAGATTTTAAATGCAAATGTCATGCTTGAAATCAACTCATCTTTTATTTGCTCACTTTCAGGTGAAATAATGAGGGAATAAGACACATCTAGCCATAAAACAGCTGAGCCGTCAACTGACCAATTACTTTTAAGCCCCTAAAAGGGGGGGGTTCTGCATGAAAGCAGTTCCAACTGTTCACCCAATCCCACAACTGCAAAGTGCAGCAGTAAGCAGTCACGTTTTTAGATGTGTAAAAAAAAGATCAGCCTCTTTTAGAATTGTTTCGTAGCCCATGCTGTCGGCGGTCTAATCCACGTCATATTGAAACGTTTGCGCATGTTTGTGTTCAGGGAGCTGTTGTTGTGATAATCAGCCTTTTCCCGCTGGCCCTCTCCCTCCTCAGAGGACACACACACCAGCCTGCACCTCCACGCAGCTGGGCTCATCTGTTAACCGCTTGTACAGTGAAGCTGGAGTTTTCAAACCCAGGCTGAGAGCGACACGTTTCAAAGGGCATTCTTGACGGGAAGGAGGCTCTCTCCTTGAAGCGCTTGAAAGTGGTTTTACTGTCAAGGAACGAGGACGGGGAAAAAAAGCGAGAGAATCCAGAATCACAGCAGGGGCGGCCAGCGAAGCTGAGCTAAGATATCCTGAAAGAAATTGGAATCCCTGGGTTTGGACTGCGCGACGCGTGTGCGCATGCACGAGGCGAAGACGCAGCTCCGAAGCTTCTTATCATATCAGACCTTTACCTTCATCCTTCATCACGACCCGCAATGAACGCCATATCCCACTGAGTGAGACTGAAAATAACATCTAGCCACATGATGCGCCTTATGAAAAAAGAAATTCCCTTCAAAGCCTCCCCGTCTGCTTTGTGTTTCAGCTTTCGGTCGTGATACACATGTAGTCAGACATGTCTTTATCTGTACAAGGCACAGTTCTTTAAGGTGATCAGAGAGGGCTGAGATTGCTCTGAGCCCTGAAAAGGAAAAATCCAGCGCGGTGCTTTCAAACCCTGACTAAAAAACTAGGTGTGAAATGCGCTTAGGGTTTTCCGACTTCTGTCGTGGTATATTTGCATACAGTTCACTGTTAAGAGAGGTGGAATGGAAAGAGAGAGGAAGAGAGAGATCATTACGAGGAGGACGAGAAAGCGGATCAACAGTCGTTAACTAGAAACGCGTTACAAGAAATTATATCCCCGCGCACAGACGCCCCAACCATTACTGTCAGGCAAGCTATAATTTTCAATCTGGCCGAGAGATGAAGACCTGTATTCCCATTGATTTGCCAATACTGAGGCGGGAGACCCATTGATCTCTGCTTTTTACAACAAACACATTATTTCAAAACCACACCTCTTTCTATGTGGACGCCTTTTCTGACCGAACCACATTAAGAAAGAAAGGTAACCGTCTCTGCACTGAAAAAAAAACATTATGATTATGCTAAATTATGCTCATGGCTGATTCCCTATTGGGCTAAAATATGACTAAGGATGAACTGATATAGAATTTCTATAACGATAACAATAATTGATAATTAACACCATGTTGTGGTCAACGTAGATATATATTATACATACACATATTTATATATACATATATACACACATACATATACATATGTCGCTGCTGTCAGAACAAGACCTTGTATCTCCTAAAACCTTGTATGTATATATATATATATATATATATATATATATATATATATATATATATATATATATATATATATATAGACTTTACAGTAAAGTCTATACATATATATATAAACTTTGTTAACATGTGATTCCTGTATTTTCTGATGAAACAAGCATAAACAAACATAAATTAACAGTTTTGCACAAACAAAAATGGAACTGCCCATACACTGAGTTTTTGCCTCCACTTTGTGCTTCTCGCTCTCCATGTGTGACTCCACAGCTTTTATTCCCATTGTGCCAAGCTTGAAGACCTTCTTGCACAGTGTGCAACGCGTTCCTTACAGATTACCTTGAACTGGATTTAGCCACGGTGCAAAATTGGGGTTATCCAACCACTTTCCGTTAAATCCACACTTCCCCATACAGTACTGTCTCCGCTACTTGGCTAAAACAAAGTAATGAACGTGCCTGCAATTAGCGCCCCTCAGAGCCATAAATGCTGTTGGTTCCGCTTAGTTCAATCTGCCGTTAAAACCGCAAGTTAACATGCATATAAAATCTGGAAATGCAGGATAATAAAAACTAAATTGTATTTATTGTTTGTGCCCTTTTTAAGACATTTGGGAGATGGATTTAAGACATGGTAAGACAAATTAAGGCCTTTTTTTAGTCAAACAAATTAAAGACTTTTTAAGGATCCGCAGACATCCTGTGTGTGTGTATATATATATATATATACACACATATATATATATATATATATATATATATATACACACACACACACACACACACACACACACACATATATATATTAGTGCACAGCTTTTGATGGGTTAAAACTTCAAAAGATACTAAAAGAACTATATCATGATATAACATAACATGATAAATGGTTTAACATATAACACATTCTGTCATCCTGAATGACTTGCACTGAAAATGAATGTAGTATTGGGAGTCTTTCCCAAGGACTCCTCTCAGTATAATTTTGTCTAGGAAAAAGCCAGAAAGCAAGTTTCACATTCAGCGTTTTGGGTGCAGGAGAAATGAACAACTTTGACCAGGGCCAAATGGTTAGATCCAGATTATATATTATAAAATATATACCCATGATTATATATATTGGTTAGCAAGGCTTGCTGTGAGCTCCTGGTCAGCATCGGTGAGTAACATCATTCAAGGAGGGATAAACTACAAACCAGCAACAGCGTGTTAGGTGCTCATTTCTCCTGCGCCCAACATGCCGAATGCGAAAACTTAGACCTTGAGATGTTATGAGATAATCAGCATTATTCACTTCATCTGTGAGCGCTCATAATGCTTTGGCTGATCAAAGAACACAGACCGCTGATATATCACATTTCTGATGCACTGAGCTTTAGCCACATGTTAAGTATATTCAGCTGTTGACACTTTCCAAAACATTTTTTCCCAACAAACAGTCGGAGTGTGTCTACGTGTGACTGTGCATGGCTGCCTGGGTGTACGCTTAAGCTGGTGGGGGGGGTAGGGGAATGGGCTGACATTTTGAATGATTCATCTCAGAGTGAATATACCTGTCCTGAGTGTAAATTGGCCTTTTGGGGGCTCCCCCATCGTTTAGGCATGACTCTCACCCTGGGGTCAAACAGCAGCAGGAGCCCTGAGCCTTTTAATAAAACATCGCGCGATGTTCACACATTACCGCCACGAGCAGAGGCTGCTGCTGCTACTGCTGCTGTAGGCCAGGCCAGCAGGAGCACACTGGGAGTAGTGAATAAAAAAAGCCCAAACAAAACAATAGCTGGCTGTTGGCCTTTGTCTCATCTAGCAAAATGAAATATAGTAATACAACTGCGCCGCCTCAGAAGTGAACAGAGCCTCGGCCTTTCAGGGGCTCTGATTAAATAAAGGGGGCGACGGCAGCCGTTTCCACACTTCAGTTAGCTAGTGTGTGTGTACTGATCTGATATACTGAATCCTCTCATGATTTCTTTTATGTTTACGTCTCAGAATAAGTGTTACTGTAAGGATAAAATAAAGAGGCAGAGATGTTGAGAAAGTCAGTTTATCTATGTTTGCGTCATCAATAAGCCTTGTTGCCTGTTTGCGGTTTGCCCCTCATCGGACCACTGTCAGTAAGTATTCACCACTGCTGACTGGAGATGCTCTGACCCAACTGTCTGGTCACAACTATTTGACCTTATCAATGCTGCTCAGAGCCATTTTTGAACATTTACAGTGGCGGAAACTTCAGTCCATCTCTGGTTAAAACACTACAATTCATATGTAAGTGCCAGGCATGGGGGAGTAGCTAAGTAGCGCAACTCTTTCTGCAGTTAACTACCATTTTTTGTAGCTAAGAGCTGAAGCCGTTAAAGTTTTATGAAATGTAGCGCCTACAAATTTTTGTGTAGCTATAGCGATAATTTTTGCTACAATTTCACTACAGGCTTCTGCGCAAAATGTGAACCGCAGAATGCGGCCGTTAACCGGGCTGGTGGCGACTGTGCAGCCCTGACTGAGCCGCGGACAGTTCGAGCAAACGGTCATGCACTGATCACCCCTTACTAGTAGGCTTAGCTCAGGGGTCCCAACCGAAATGTTAAAAAGAGCCATTCTGTCCTTTCAGAAAAATGAAACCACCTGGGGAGCCACAACACTTTATGTCTGTTTTACCATCTTGGCTGTAAATATGTCTCAGTATGTGCTGATGTACAAGTTCAGGCTAAAAATATAATATAAATCCCGACAGCGACTCACTTTGCTCTGCTTTAAGCTGTAGCTCAGTTATACCCACTTTTCTCACATCTCTGACAGGAAACTTTTCTAAAAGTAGGACAGTTTCTTGTAAAATGTCTCAACGTTTGATTTTTTGCAAAGCTGAAGTCGCTTCTCATTCGGCGGCTTCTTGTTTGAATTGTCCCGTTCCACCTTAAATGGTGCCTGAGGCCCCAGAATGTACTGCTGTGCCATTTAAGGTGGAACGGGACAATTCAAACAAGAAGCCGCCGAATGAGAAGCGACTTCAGCTTCGCGACTTAGTGTTTGACAGTTTCTGGATGCAGATTAAACAAATAAAGAAACCAACTGAGTGTTTATAAAGGCAAGTAAGTCTCAAAATCATCAATGTTGGTCTTAAATCTCTCTCTTTGCCGTTTCTTTAGCTACTAGCTAGGCGAGACTGTTGTCTGTGTTGCTATGGTGACCAGCAGTCTGCGCTGATCTTCAGGGTTAAAGGGTGAATTAGCAGTTCTACATTAACTCCAGAGTTTAAGACCATTTATTGTTAAACTGTGTTGAACGATCAGCAGAGCTTTATTTTACTGTAAAGGAGGATTATTTTATTTTTACCTACTAATCTAATTTAGCTGTGGAGCCAACAGGGCAGTAAAAGAGCCTCATGCTGCCGACCCCTGACATTTTCCTATTACTAACAGTCCTGCGCAGAGCCAGCGTCACTGATGAGAATTTCGAGGCTGAAGTGTTGCTGAAGCTTAACAGGACTCTGAATGTCGTGTCTGCACATCTTGCTGAAATGTCTTAATAGGAGCAGTTTTATTTCAACAGTTGACAATGCTTCGCACAAAATTGTTTGGTTTATATTCGTTATTTTTGTTGATTTTTGTTAGGAAAAACCTGGAATGATTTGGTTGTGTACGTTTGATTGTTGGTTACACTTAAACTCACTTTTTGGTGATCTTTTTGTATATTTGCAGCTTTTCAGTGGCTCATGATTAAACGCAGGGTCTTGTTCACACTAAGTTGGGCTTGTTTGGTGTGTCAGGTGGAGATTCACAAACATTCTGACAATCGAGCTTTGAAAGTAGCTAAAAAGTAGCCACTACTTTCAAAAAGTAGCTAAAAAGTAAATTAAATTACTTCAATTTTTCAGTAGCTATCCCAACCCTGGTAAGTGCAGAGAGACTGGTGAACACTTTAAAGATGCTTGATGCTAATGCAACGTCTCACATCATTTAGGCTATAAAGGTAACTGAATAGTTGATGATTTTTGAAACTACTAATTAGATTAATTCTACTGATAGTCTTTCATGTGTTTACCCCTCGCTGAAAACTGCAGCTCTGTTCTCCTGTGAAAAACTTCCATGCTGACTTCAACCTCTGCAGGATCAGAGCCTGACTACATGAAATGAAACGAACCTTTTTGGCCAACTGTGTCTGAACACAACGGAATTAGACCTCCGCATTTAACCCATCTGTGCAGTTAAACACCACATACACACTAACAACCACACACACACACTAGGGGGCAGTGAGCACACTTGCCCAGGGCGGTGGGCAGCCCTATCCACTGGGCCCAGGGAGCAGTTGGGGGTTAGGTGCCTTGCTCAAGGGCACTTCAGTCACGTACTGTCAGCTGAGGGGATCGAACCGGCGACCTTCCGGTCACAAGCCTGGTTCCCTAACCTCCAGCCCACGACTGCCCAAGTGTAGCAGGGTGTGTTCGAGCAAAGAAATGGTTGCAATTCAGATATTTTAAAAAAACAGACAGTTCATTGTGAATCAGTTTGTTTGCTGTGGCCCGTCACACCGTTTGTGCCTTAAAGACTAGCGAAAGTTCACTATAAGTCACTATGCACAGGATCAGGGCTGCTCGGCGCTCCTGCATACGTGATGATTCAAAGAGCTCCTCCAAAACAGCCCCTCTGTGTCGACGAGCCACTCTGTCTGCTTCTTCGTTTCATCTGCTCTTTATGACAGCTAAACGCTGTTCAAAGAATCTTCCCCTGGGTAGGGCTGGGTAGCTCCCTTCTCTTTCAAATGCTAATCCGCCTCCACTTATTGTTTTCTTTCGGTATTCATGCTCTTCTTCTGAGTAAACATGAGTGTAAGGGAACAGACACACCAATGTACTTCAGTTGGTACAGACCTGGGTTTTAAAAAGATCCATTCACCTTATAATGTGGATTTAGAACTGAGTATCCACAACAAAATTCCTTATGCTTTCATAAACACTCATCCTGGAGCAGCAGAGGAACATCGTCACGTAACGCTGTATCTCAAACAGTAACTTTACAGGAGAAGGAAAAACGTTCTTAACTTTAATGTACATTATTGCAACAAGAATTACTTCGTAAAGGGCAGATCGTTATTAAATAGTAGTGCTGTGCTCGAGTCAGTTATATTAATCCAGACATAGACACTTAATTTCAGTACCAATATCTGCACATATCTTTTCAGTATTGTCATTCTATACTGTTACATGTGCCTCCTTGTAGAGTCATTACTGCACTGCCTTTTTATCTCAGGTTACAGAGATTATTGCATATTTTTGTATATATATATTTTGTATATATTCTTTGTTTTATATTGTATCACCCTTATTATTATAACTGTGCTGTGGTGTGTGACAGATACTGGCTGCTAAATTTCCTTCAGGATGAATAAAGTCTCTATTTATCTGTCTATCTGTCTGTCTATCCATCCATCCATCTATCTTATTTATCTGTTTCCGGCTCAGGGAAAAGGCGACTGGGAAATTGTTCTTGAGACTGTATGCAAACAGCGCCGAGTGGTATTTGCTCGTTTACAGAAGCCCAGCGCATGCGACTCTCTGCTGTGTTTTCTTAGGTGGCGTCTCAGGATCTTTCCTTTTTAACCATTTATCAATGATGGATGAGTTCCATATAACTGAAAAGCGAAATGTTTTACATTGACTTGCACTGTAAATATAAACATAACCAGCTAGCATTTTGCCAGAACAGCCAATGAGATCAACATGAAAATGCCGTTTTATTTTTTTTTTCAAATTTGCTATACTTAAAATTATGTTTGATTAAATGTCTATATTGTAACAATTTTCGGGGTTTGAAAAACAAAAACAAAACAGAAACAAAACAAACGAAAAAAAAAAAAACACCTGACGGTCAATGGCCCACTAGCATTACCACCACAGCCCACTAGAGGGCCGTAGCCCACAGGTTGAAAACAACTACTCTACATCTTTAAATAAAATCTGTTCACTGCTGGCTGAGGATCTAATTGATCCTTTTCATGATGGCTTAACTGGATATTATTTGCTTGCTGACATTCATTGGTTCCAAAATTCATTGGTCTTGGTCTTGTCTCGGTCTCGGCCACTCCTGGTCTCAGTCTTTACGTGGACTCTACTACTACAAAGTCTTAGGCCCAGTCCCATTTCTTCTTTTTACCCCTACCCCTTGTTTTCGGGTGTCACCTTAACTGGAACTGAGTTACTAGGGGTAGTGGTTGAAATCTTACCCTACGAAATGGGACCCTCAAATAAAAAAAAAAATAAATAAAAAAACAAAGCTGAAGTCAGATATTCACCAGATTCTTGTTCGAATTTTCCCGTTCCACCTTAAATGGTGTAGCAGTTACATTCTGCGCTTCAGTCGTCAGAACTGCTGGACTATTTAAGGTGGAACGGGAAAGTTAGCTAGCTAGCTACCGAGACATTAGCATGCTATTAGTGATTTTATGCTTGTTATGAAGAAAATGAGCAAAATACACTGAAACGACATTAAACTAAGAAAATACAACACATCTGTGGGTTTCTTTGGTCTCTTGTTCTCCATCTTGCCGTTTTTTCTTTTTTCTCATAACTCTCTGTTTGGAGTCTCTGAAAAACCTCCGTTTGGAGGGTCATGTAGTCCCAACACTTCACCCTCCCCCTCTATCTCAACAAGAATCGGGACACCCTACCCCTAGACGTGACTGCGCAAAACAGAGGGCTAAGGGCTCAGTGGTAGGGGCGAGGGGTGAAATGGGACTGGGCCTTAGTCTTCATTCAGACTCAATATGTCCTGGTTTCAGACTTGACTACTACAAAGTCTTGACTCAGACTCGATGTCCAGTTCTCAGTCTTTACTCTATAGTCTTTAAACTGTGTAGATTGTGTTAATGCCGTAAAGAAATGTGACTGTATCTACTGATACCCTGGTCAAAAAAGACAGTGGTCACTTACCAGTGATGTTGAAGGCAGTGTCATTGCCTTGGTAGATCAACTTGTTGTCCTTGTACAGGGTGAAGTGGGTGATGATGCCGTTGGGTTTCAGAGGGGGATCCCAGTACAGAGAGAGAGAGTCTGGGTACGGAACTGCATTAGGGGCTAGGACTTCCTCAGGAGCTACGAAAGGATTGATATGAAGTCAATATATAGCTGAGAGACTCTGGGCCTCCGAAGAAGGATTTCTAGGAATTCAGCTGTTCTGTTATTCTATAATACTAGAAGGACAATAAAACAGTAGGTCCAACAAATTAATATGGTTAAGAATAAAAAGAATGAAATCCAGTGGAAAGCTTGCATGACCTCACACAGTTATATGCAACGTTTGGTCAAATGACATACTTTGTTCATTTTCTAAGTGAAAATAAGTTACAGATCACCTACAGAGAGCACACTTCTGCACATTTTAATGGCTGGTTATTGGCTTAATTTAGCATAATGGAAAAAAAAAAACAAATGTGGAAGTTAGGGCACATTTTACATGTTATTTTTTATGTTTAATATGCTGAATATAAAATATGCTTATTTCATTTGTTTAATATGTTAATAATAAAAATGTCATATTTAAGTTTGTTCCCTGTAGAGGATGTGTCAACACATTTTTACTTAGAAAATCAACAAAATATGGAATTTGACAGTTGAAACATGCAGCCGTTTGCTCAAAATATCTGAAATATCTGTCTTAAATATTTAATGTCAAGCTTTACAGGATGACTCTGACTACTTCTCTCAATTTTAACAAAAACATCTTACACAGCTTGCAGCTTTAAGTAAGTTGTATGTAACCAAGTTGTACATAAACATGGCAGAGATGTTTATAACATCACGAAGGTTCTCCGGTGTTTAGTGGTTTTTAATAAGAATGGAATTAATAAGAATGCATTTCATGTTTCAGTCCAGTACGACACAGACCACCTTTCTGACGCAGGGCAAATTAAACAGAACATATTTTGAACATGAATAAGTTATTCTAAGAATAAAGCAGCGCCCACATCAGAGAGGGAGCCGATGTTCAAAGTTCTGTAGCGCAGGATCAATACAGTAATTTCACTTTTTGTAATCAAGTCCACATCAAATTGATTTTTTCACTCTACAATGACCCCCAATGTCATACTATCTCTTAAACAAGGCAATTTAGCCCAACTTAGATTAATGCACGACCTGGAAAAGCTGCCCACATATTTCACTCGACTCACAACCTGCCAAAAGAAGAAGAAGAGAGATGTTTCAAACTATTTAAACCACCGGGCAGAACAGAGCTACTTTTATTTGCAAATGGCTCGGAGACAGAGAAAATAATTGCTGCTGACAATTAATCTGTCTTTATTCCTGCTGTTTCATGTAGGAGAGAGGCTCAGTCAATGGACATGACACTTGTTCTCCTCAGACTACAGAAAAAGCGTCTTTGTCTTGCCTGTGGAGTTAGACAGACGCAACGGTAATAAAGAATGAGTGCAGAAGAGTTGAAAGAGAGAGGAGAGCGCTCGTTTGCTCTCCGCAGCGTTTCCTTCGCGAGAGCAGCCGTGCACACCCTCGGCGCCTCCAAAAGCGTGGAAATGGAGCGCTTGATTCTCCATTTCATACTTGTGGCCATACAATCAATTCTTTTTAGCCCGCCGACTGTCTTTAGATTTACTTCTCTGGCGAAGTGAAATGAAGAAAGCTTTCATTAATCTTGCAGATGCCTCCCATTAATGACAAGGCTCTCGCATGAACAATGTAACAGCAATTAAAAAGGCCATTCATCTGCATTACAGCTATTAAAGATGCATGTAATTAAAAGAGGCAAAGAGTTTGATTCATTCGCCCATTCGCCACCCTCCCCCCTCCACCACCACACACCCTTAAATCCACCCTCTATAACCCAGAGACCCCCAAAAAAGAAAAAAAATCAGGATAAAATAAAAAAATAAAATAAAACTGAGCAATTACAGGCTGGCAATGCACTTTGTCATCAAATTAGTTTGGAGTTTTCGAGCAAATGGCTCGACACCATTCGCGCCCCTCTCTGCGCTTTTATTATTCATCAAAGGAATGTGCGAGTCAGGACCTTCTAAATGACTTTACCCTCTTGCGGAGTGGTGAGGCTGGTGGAGCGCGCGCTCTCTCCGCAGCCGGCCTGAGTGCACGCCGTTAGGGTAATACTGTAGCTGCTAAAAGGAGCCAGGCCACTTAATGTTCCTGTAACAGGAGAGAGAGAGAGACAGACAGAAAGAGGGAGAGAGAGAGAGAGAGAGAAGGAAGCAAATGTCACTCTTTTCACTTCCATATTTCAAAAAAGTAGCCCTTTTGCCTGCAATGCTATGAGACTTAATGCAATGACTTTTCAAACACAGCATAATTTAACCATCACTTCTGATAACAGCCCTAGATTTAAACAGACTTTATTAATCATCACACGGAGGGGTAAAGCGACGCCAGGCTTTCCCGATCAGACACTAATGACGATATTTAATGGACAGTGTGGGCCGCAGTGTTTAAAAGCAGTCTCTAGTCTGATTCGAGAAGCTCTTCTCCCAGCTCCCCTTTAACCCTGTAATGATCAATGAAATCCAGGGGTTCACCACTAAAACCAGCACTTTCAGAAAAGAGCTCACAATGGATACGGGGTACAATAAATTAAACAAATAAATACTGAAACGACGAGATCTATAGAAATAAGATTAGAGCTTTCCTCACCAAAGCTTCTACATGGGGACATTCAAACTATGAATAATAAGATAGATTGATCAATAAATAGATGGGTAGATAGACAACGCCGGCTTTACCTAATAAGCGACGTAAGCAGCTGCGGTCGCCAGAGGGCCCCCTAACAGCTTCTGGGTTATTACTGTACCATTGTGTTGTCTAAAATATTTGAGTGAGGCGAAAAAGGCTACTGTCTGTTTATCATGACTCAAAAAAGACCAAACCTATCCGGACCTGAAAAACGGAAAAGGAAAAGACGAGATGAGCAGAAAAGGCTTAAAGATGAACGCATGTTCAGGCAGCCTTTAAATAAAGTGTTCTTCTTCACTTCTTACACCAGATGACTTTGTTTACTACAAGGCTTCTGAAAAGACGTAAGGGTTGCTTCATTTTGGTGAGCACTAGATATTATCAGGTGAGCACCAGATACCATTTTGTGAGCACCAGACACTATTTGGTGAGCACCAGACACTATTTGGTGAGCACCACATATCATGTGAGCACCAGATATTATCAAGTGAATGCCAGATACTATTGGGTGAGCAACATATACTATCAGATGATCCCCAGATACTATCAGGTGAGCACCACATATCATGTGAGCGCAAGATACTACTGAGTGAGCAACATATACTATCAGATGGTCCCCAGATACTATTAGATGAGAACCAGACACTATTTGGTGTGCACCACATATCATGTGAGCACCAGATATTATCAAGTGAGCGCCAGATACTATTGAATGAGCAACATATACTATCAGATGATCCCCAGATACTGTTAGGTGAGCACCAGATACTATTTGTTGAGTATCAGACATTATCAGGTGAGCACATCATTGTGTGTGGTGTGCACCAGATTGTTTTTTTACACAAACAATATGCACCATTTTATCATTTTCAGAGTATATTTATTTTTTATATTTATATATATATTTCACTGTATAGTTTCTTCAGGTGTTCAAAATGTTTTTTTTTCTTATTATTTAAAATTCTGCATTAGGAAATTATAGCTATAGAATGATATGGACTATGATATGCGTCTGATCCATGATACGATTTTTGGTCATATCATCCAGTCCTATTAGACAGACAGGCTGACAGACAGCTGGACAGACTTTGCTCATTGGCAAATCTGCAAAAGAACAAAAATCAAACACTCACTGATTAAAAAAGGGCTCATGCATTCATTCCTTGTTTCTGCTGTGACACCTTGGTACAAAAAGCGCACTGTTAATAGAGCCTGGCCATAAATTAAAACAAAGGACTTCCAAAAGCACAGCTTATAATTAATTTTTACTCTTTAAAATCGGGATTTATTTATTAATTTATCATCCAAAATAAAGGCAGAGTCCTTTTAACGGTGGGTGTGCGCGTGTGAATGTGAGAGTGAGTGGCTTTTTGGCCAGCTTCCATGCTAATCTGCACTCACGTGCCAGGCTAATCTCGGCGCGGGACAGATCGCTGTCAGAGCTAGAAAGTAAACACTACGGCGCGGTCGTAACTGGGCAGGTGTCTCCAGGGTTTTTTTTTCCCCCGTCCGATGTCTTTTAATTCAATTAAGAGGCTGACCCACGCCATTCTCATTACCCACTCATTTGCTTTCTGGGTTTTTATCTGCCTGTGTAATTCTGCTTTTGGTGTCACGGCTATCATAAATTAGCAAGGCTTAGCCTCGCACTGTTTGAAGTGTGCCAAGAAGAGGATAAAAAAAAAAAGGATCTTCCCATTTTGCCTGGAGACAGAGTGTAGATTGGCTATCTCTAAGCAGCATCTCTGCTTGGAGATTACACATCCATCTGATGTTACAAAGCATTTTCACAAAGTAAGTAGGCAAGGGCCACACCTCATTCACACTAATCAGTCTCTACTCATCATCAGCCTCTGTCCAGACACAGACTGGTCACTTTGGAACAAAAAGAAGATAAAACATGCTGACCCCCATTTATAGTACGCATAGGGTGAAAGATTATTAACCGGTGTCAAGAACAATCTTAATGCCGTAACATCATCCTTCTACATGCAATCGAGCTCACGATCTTGAGTGGGAATTAGGGGTGGGCACTGCGGTGATATCATGATAAATTAAGTCATATACATCACGGGTAACATCAATACCTGTGGAACGCTGAGTAACTGCATGCATCATACAACGGACAGTTATAGGCAGCCTGTAAATAACTAACTAGCGTATCTATGATTTTTTTATCTGATATCATACTAGAGTTGCCCACCACACTGATGACCTACAGCAGCCAGACTGGGTTTTGTCACCAGCAACGTCATCATATGCTGTTATCATCATGTATACAGAGTACTGGGTAAAGGTTTTAGGCACCTAAGAAAATTGGATTTAAAAAGCTATCTGGGCAGTAAATGTTTATTTGCTGAGGACACTAAATAAAAAAATATATATTATATATATAAGGTGTTCCAAAAAAACTGACATCATTTTGTAGTCTAATAACATAATAATAATAACATAATAACAGCCAATTCTCCTTCAAATGATCTCAAATTTTAAGAAAATGTGTAAAAACTAACCAAGTTTACTTTTTCATGTTTTTTTTTTCAGGTTGAAGAATGGCGTTCACTAGAAATGAAAAGGCATTTTGTGTGTTAGAATATGCTCGAACACAATCAAACAAGAGTGCAGCAGCATTTTTGAGAAAATTCAATAAAAAATGCACCAAAGAGGAACGCTGTCTGCGCAGGGCGAAGAGATCTGGACGACCACCAGTATCGGAAGATATTACATTTGTGAAGCTGTGAAATCGGTTATAAAATAATAATAATAATAATAAAAAGAAAGAAAAAAGAAATATATATATACACCGACTCTAAATATATACACAATATACACTAGTACTGCAGTATTTCCAATGCACAGTTGTACAGTAATAAGTTATAAAATATAACTTATTGAATGAAATAAAACTATGATCTGTACTGTTGTTCACATTTCCGTATGTGCAGTTAGTGAGTCTGAGGTAGATAATAAAGGTACACAGGGGATAGAATATTGGTATAGAAACCTTCCAGATGGCAGCCCAGTCTCATCTGTAGTCGTCATCCAACACCTGGTCTGGCTAAACAATACTCCATTATGTTAAAGAGTGCTGTTGATGGAACTGAACAAATCTGGGTGACGGCTGGGGCACTGAAGAGAGACCTGCATCCAACCTTTGTTCAACTAACAAAGCTCACTGGATCATTCTCAGCACTGCAGTGACAGTGACGTGCTGGAGGCAAGTTAGTATGTGTTGCACTGGTACAAGTGGATCAGACACTGTAGTGCGACTTGTCATGCCTCCCTCTGGTCCCACTGTTACTGCTTCCCAGCCTCCGGACTCCATTTCCCAGAACACCCTATTTGATCACATGATCCCAGATCTCCCTCACATGACTCTCCACTGTCTGCTTCACCTGATTGCTGATTCAGCTCACCTGTTAAGCTCACTACATAAACCCCCTCAGTTTGTTTGCGCTTTGCGAAATAAAATATTGCCTCTGTTTCACCGAGCCTTACCGAGCCTTCCCGAGCCTTCCAGTCTGATAGTTTGCTTCTCTGTGTTTGACCTTCGCTTTGTTTGTTTTTTGACCTCGTCTTTAGCCTCGCCCTCTGAGCACTGTTAGTATTTCTGGTTCGACCTTCTTTTCTGGTTTATTGGACTCTGTTTTTTCGGACCACCCTCATGGTTACTGTTTTCTTGATTTGGCTTCTGACTCTGGACTGGTTGACCTTGATTTCGGATTCCCCCTTTGCTAATAAAGCTAATTTACTTCAGTTGAGTCTGCAAGCGTCTGAATTCTGTCCAAACCTGACACTACTGGGGCAGTCGTAGGCTGGAGTTTAGGGAACCAGCCCTGTGACCGGAAGATCGCTGGCTCAATCCCCTGAGCTGACAGTACGTGACTGAAGTGCCCTTGAGCAAGACACCTAACCCCCAACTGCCCCCTGGGTGCTGTGGATAGGGCTGCCCAGCCCTCCAGGCAAGTGTGCTCACTGCCTAGTGTGTGTGTTCACAGTGCCTATTTTTTGCCGTTGTAGTTTGGCTTATTTTGAATGAACAATGGCCAGCTGGGGTCATGGCACAATGTTAGGTAAAAATAAAATAAAAACGCAGCTGGATTTGTTGAGATTCTTAATGGTTGAGTTTGACACCCCTGAACTAAATAATGGGCTGTTAATGAGCTAATTAGTTGGATCAGATGGGCTGGGAGCAGGGAACACACTAAAAAGTGCAGTGCAGTGGGCCTCCAGGACCAGGGTGGAGAAACACTGATACAAGTTGATGAATGTGCAGCGTCCAATGAAAAAAGCCTTCACTTAGTAGCCTTTGGTAGCAATTAGTTCTTGAACGACATTGCTAATGTCTGCTAGCCCTTTAATGGGAATTTTAATGTAAATGTAGCGGCAAGCTAGCCACCCTAGGTACTCGTTTTCCTGCACAGTTTAAGCTTCTAAGAAATTGAAGTTACATTATTTACTTTGTATAATGATTTTTTACAGTACCCCAAGTTTGCTGTATATATGCTATATGAAACCTGCCAGTAGTATATAATAATGTTGGTTATAGCAGTATGGTGGGGATTAAAGCGGAAACATTTCTGTTTGTATCTTTCATTCGAGGTGACCGTTTCCCACTGTCTGCTTTTAAAATAAGGTAATTAACATGGCGAGCACAACAAAAAAGTCATGTGACTGAAACTTATGGGGCCGTTGGCACCGACAGGGCTTAGGTCTGTTGCACTAACTGGTCATAATCTGAATTTTTACTAAGAACGGGCACAACTCGACGCCTAGCTGGGAGCATAAAGTCAACCACTAGACCATTTCTTGGCTATTAAAGCCACTTTAAACAAGCATTGCTAGTCAAAGTGCTGCTGCACAGAGAGAGTTTCTCTGTTGATACTAGAGTCACTGGCACAGCATGCAGCACCACTGAAACAGCCATCTTCACTAACTGACTAACTAGCTGACATGAATGAACGGTAGATGAGTAGCTAACTTCACTGTAAAATGAGCAAAAAAGCAGACGCATCCCTTCATTCAGGAGGAGTTTAGAAAGCTGTTAGATGTCGGCAAATACCTTTTTCCCCATTTCCTCTGTGTGGTAAAGAGCTAATGTCATCCTGAACCGGCTGATCTTGATAAGTTTTTTTTATTTAAGCTGTGAAGATGTTTATCCATCAGCGTGACTTTAAGCAGACTCTAAAACGTGATCAATGCACAAGTTTCCCTGTTGGTGAAATTACTTGCTAGTAGCAAACACAGCAGTTTTGCTTAGTGGCCTTGGTTGCATAGCAGCTGCCATGGATACATATGCTTTTACATGTATGTGCACCGCTAGGATGAGTCTAGGAGTAACTGTGGTTGGTGCAATTGGTGTAAAGTCCTCTTTGAAAATGGTCGACCAACTTAGCAGTTAAGACTGTCTAACTTAAGCCAGTTACTGTTGGTGCAAACAGTCCCTCAATACTAACTAACTGCATAAACTGTGTGGTAAAGAAGTAGCTGATTGGATGTTAGTTTATCATCTTATTCATTATTTTTACCAACCTGTGCTTTCCTCTGTTCCTTCTTAAATAGATTTTGCAAACATGAATTAAAAAATTTCTACATTTATCATTTCTCTTTTTTTAAATTGTGGCACTGCTGTTCTGCTTGTGCATTTTGTTCCTCCCTACAGAAAAAATAAATACAATCAATATTGTATTTTGCGAAAAATGTCCTCAAGCATTGCGATGTTATATTTTTGCCATATCTTCTACCCTTAATTACACATTAACCAGTGTCAAATACAATCTTAGTGCCACAGCATCATCTTTTCACATGCAATCTTTCTCAAAATCCCAGGTGTGGATTTCAAGCCAAACGCTAAAAGTGCTTTTTTCGTGCAGGTATAATAAGCGTGTAGTGTTAAAAGGCTAGCCAGAGGTAGCAGTTGTTTAAAAAGACGAGCGAGTTCTGCTCCAGAAGGCCGGAGCGGCTCTTACCCGTCAGCCGCTGCGTGTTGGGGAAGGTGGTGCTGATCGGGGGGGACGAGGGACGGTCCCGGCTGTATGCCTTTACCACGTACTGCTCAATTACACCTCTGACCCCAGGCGGCTCCGCCCAGCTCACCTCCACGCTGGAGCCATTTATACTGGCAACTCTGGAGGGAGGCAGCACACTTTGCGGAACTGCAAGAGGGATAATAGGGGAAGGAGGGAGGGAAGGGGGGGGAGAGAGAGAGAGAGAGAGAATGAGTGTCAAAGCAAAGGGGAGGAAAAGAGAGAGCACAAGAATCCAGAAGGGAGGAAGAAAGAAAGACGGAGCGAGAGTGAGAGAGAGGGAAAGGGAAAGAGAGAGAGCGTGTCAGGCCAAAGAAAAGCAGCGCACATATTCTTCACTTTTAATAGACACAGTAAATCATATCCAACCATTAGCATAAATACAATTTATTAGAGTTGTAACTTTTTCAGCGCTGATTTAATATGACTGTACATCCACTGTTCATTCTGGGCTATATTTCACAACCATCCGCCAATGGCCTCTTTCACTACAGGACTCACCTTTTACAAAGAAGGATAATAAACAGTCAAACGCATGCAGAACAAGCAGCAACGCCACGTATGTAACAACTCTGTAGACAGCTTTTTATTTATGTATGTGATGTATGTGGTGGGATATAAACCATTCTTCTATTGTATAGAATATAATTATATATACATTTATATTTTTCCTATATAGAAATATACAAATGTGGGCTTCATACAAATAACAGTTCTACAGTTACAGACTGTAGTCCATCTGTTTCTCTGATACTTTGTTACCCTGTTCTTCAGTGGTCAGGACCCCCATGGACCCTCACAGAGCAGGTCCTATTTGGGTGGTGGATCATTCTCAGCACTGCAGTAACACTGACGTGGTGGTGGTGTGTAAGTGTGTGTTGCGCTGGTCTGAGTGGATCAGACACAGCAGTGCTGCTGGAGTTTTAAACACCTCAGTGTCACTGCTGGACTGAGAATAGTCCACCAACCACAAATATCTAGTCAACAGCGTCCTGTGGGCAGTGTCCTGTGACCACTGATGAAGGACTAGAGGATGACCAACACAAACTGTGCAGCAGCAGATGAGCTATCGTCTCTGACTGTACACCTACAAGGTGGACTGACAAGGTAGGAGTGTCTAATAGAGTGGACAGTGAGCATATATATATATATATATATATATATATACACACACACACACACACACACCAGACATCTCAGCATGGACGAACCAGCAGCACATCGATACGCACAATTCTGAGGTTTATATTCCAAAAATACAAAATGTAAAAATAGCTGAATGTGCAGAAATGTGCCTGTTTGGCTGGTTGAGCCTCTCTCTCCCTCTCCCTCTCCCTCTCTCTCTTTCTCTCTCTCTCCCCCATTCATCTTACTCTCTACCCAAGCCCTTCACTTTTAAGGAGGTAGCATTTGTGATGTGCGCTCTTACCCTGAGCTACACGATAAGCTATCGCTAAGTACCATCTCATCTTCTTGACTGTTACATATATTGCGCTGATAAGAAGGAAATGGGCTGCCCTGGAAACTATGACACAAACAAATATCAGTACAGAGCCTGAGAGAGAGAGAGAGAGAGAGAGAGAGAGAGAGAGAGAGAGAGAGAGATTGTGTGTGTGTGTGTGTGTGTGTGTGTATACCTGTCTCTCGACTGCGTCCTCGCTGCCACGGTCCGGCTGTCCACCCTCCCTCTCCGGATGCCATCACTCTGTATAAGTACTCTGTTTACAAATAAAGCAGCTTTCGTTACACAGAGATGGAGAACTAAACGTTTAAAATCCCAGAGAAAAAGTTAAGGGAATATTCAGTGTTATTTGTTGTGTTATGAAGAATTCTGTAGTGTAGTGCTGAATTTCTCAGCCTCAGCAGTTTGACAAAATTCACAATTTTATGTAATTTTTCATTTTTTTGTTCTCATACCACGACACACTGTGTGCACTACAAATATACAACGTTCAAACAACCTTTGGGAAACCCTGTGGTGCCAAGCAATGCTGACTGCTAGCCTAGCCACTGATCTGTAGGCTAATAAACACAACCAAGCTAGCATTAGTGTAACACCAATGTTGGGCAAAATCCTTTGGAATAAGTAATGATTCTCAGCCTTAACTATTTGACAAAACTCACAAATCAACTTTTCATGTTTTCATTTATCAATGTTCTCTCCCTACAATGCCCAGCAAGCATTATGCCAATGGCCATCTCTGTGGTGTCAACCAATCCTGACTGACAGTCTCACCACTGATCTTTCTTTATTAAAGTAATACAATTAAAAAACCCAGAAATAAGGACCCAAAGGTATCTAGATCGCCCACAAGCTACTTTGCTAACTGTAACTTGTAGCTTGTTGTCCTTCTCACCTGACAAGTCATTTGTCATTCAAATAAACCATTCTCGCCCTCGTAATGATGATTTGAAGCACCAAAGCTACATCACAGCAATAAGATCTTCAGCTTAGCTGAAAACTCTAAAAACACCCCCCAAAAATCTAAAGTAGTTTAGTTCAAAGTGTCCCTTTAACAAAACTGCAGTAGTTATGCTTTGAAAAAATCATCAGGATGCTAAGGGTTGTGAAATTGCGTCAATGCGTTGTGATGCATTGCTCAGAAGGCGGCAGTTCAATCACATGCATTTTGCAAATGTTAAATTAATATTCAATAACTAAACATATTTTCGGTCACAATGTAAAAGTGTAAAAAAAATGGTTTATCAAATGTAAAAGTTGTTTTTATTTTCTACTGTTTTATATTCCACTACTGTGTAAATAGTGTATTTGTACATTTGTTAATAATTTTGTTAATAATTCTGAACATAATTGAAAGGAATTTTGCTGAAATTTGAGATTTCATGACATTGAATCATTTCAGAATCGCATTCAAACTGAATCATTGTGAGAGATACATCTCTACCAGATGCAGTGGAATTTTCTTTAATTATAAATATGGGGAGTCTTGGGAAATCTTGAGGTGGAAAACATTAGCATTCAAAAATAAAATTGCTCGTCCGTATTAAAACCCAATCACCTTAAGCAAACTCTTAGCTCCATACAGTAAACCTCATCTGTTTCTCCTGGCCACAAATACAGTGCATTGTGGAAGCCTCAGAAACAAGCTGAGTTTGGGGTCAGGGAGGGAAGCGATAACAGCTGAGCTGCTGTATTTGCACTGAAGCTGCCTTTTAGCTTCATCTCCGTCAGACACTGGAGCCCAGAGAGATGCGCTGGCTATATTTGGCCCCCGGGCGTCAGCCGAGCCTGCCTTTCTCAACACTTTCAGCAGAGTGCTGATGAAGGGGACAGTGCAGGCTGCTTTAGCCGTGACCTCTCCACTCCCCCTGATGTCAGGGCTGCGTCCGCTGCCGGGCTGGACAAGCACTGTTTTGTTTAGCCCTTATGAGAACAAAAGCCCAGCAGAAAGAAGGCAGGAAAAAACAGGCCAAACAATCGCTGGAGACCTCGCCCGAGAGGAGGCCCAAAGCGAAAGGCCGAGATATCTTCGGGTCAACAAGGCCTGGCTGAGGCGCTGGTGGGGTGGAGTGTGTGAGTGTGTATGTGTTGGTTTTTTTTTTGTGTGTGTTACCAGTGAAGGGCTGCAGAGTAAGGTCCAGGGCGCTGCTCTCTCTGCCTGCATACACCAGGATAGAGTCGTTTCCCCGGCAGTTAACGCTGGTGTCAGCTGACAGGCATCCATCCAGATTGACTCCGACAGCGCCACGGGACACTGCGGCCAAGTTTACGACAGCCCCACGCGCCGCCAATCGAACGGCCCTGATGCAGCCGCCAAAACCTGAAAGAGAGAGAGAGTGAGGCACATTTTGCACTGGCCTATTTATCTAAAACAAGGAACACTGTCAGAGGCCTCCAGATAGAGAATATACGACTGGATAAAGTCATTTATGGCTTATTTGTACTTACAGTATAAAAGTAGTATATAGACTATACTACTGATGTGAAAAAAGAAATAAAATTCTATCCTAATTTTTCCATTTTCAGCACAAGTGTCTCCCGTGTTCACTAATATACACTGAGACAAAAACAAAACAGCTAAAAATGCGTTTATACACTGTTCTGCTACAATAATCATCCAAACACTGAATAATGAATATACAAATACCAAATTCTTGTTCTACCCAAATGTATGATGACATAAGCAGATGCTAATTATCGTTATATTAAAGGAATAGTTTGACAAAATATCTAATTCACACAGTTTTCCATTAACCCTAGTGACTCAGCCAAAGATATATTTGGAGTCTGAATTTTGTTTCTTTAGTTTAGAACTTGTGCTGGGAGGCTACATTGCTAACAAACATTAGAACTCAATAGTCGCCAATTTTTTTCTATAAAAAAATAAATAAATAAAATAAAACACCACAACTTCTCTTAACCCACTCAAACTCAAGATTTTAAATAACGCCGTACATGTGGATGTGATTAAGAACACAGCGAACTATAAAAATGAGCAAAACTTCGCTGTGTGGCTGAGTGCAGCGCATAGCCTTTTTTAGACTTCTAGAATCAGTATTTGTGACAATGACCATCATAAATAGGGAAATCTGACCCAGGGTCAGTCCTCTAATTTACATCTGCTCTTTGATCACCAGTCCTGGGGTCCAAATTGACTTTCAAAGGAAAAAACACAAACCCTGCAGGGGTAACTATGTGTGCCCACACGTCTCTCACCATGCAGCAGACTATGTCGTTGCAAGGCTGGGTGCTGCAGTCCGGCTGGAACTCCCCCCAGATAAAGAGGGGAGCTGATTGTCAGTGGACCTCCTCTCTGGCTCCTCTGCTCTTCCAGCGCCTCGTTCAGACCAGCTCCAGACAGCGCTCCCCTCTTCAGCAAGGTTGCGCTGTTCCAGCCGCCATCGCAGTAGGACAGGCCCACCCACACGGCCAGCTCAGCACTCTGCTCTCCCCAGCGCAGCACCCAGGAGAGGATACCGCCCTGCAGCTCCGCCTGGACAAACACACACATGCACAAGTTCTGTAGGACACAATACAGCTTCAGTACAAATCTGCGATTCTAGCAATCTTATCTGGAAAACTTATTAAATAGGAATTCCACCACACACACACACACACACACACACACACACACATTTTCTAAACCACTTATCCTTCTGGGTCATGGGAGGGGCTGAAGCCTATCGCAGCAGTCACTGGGCACAAGGCAGGATACACTCTGGACAGGTCACCAGTCCATTGCAGGGCGAACAGACAGACACATACATTCACACACATATTCACACCTACATTAACACCTAGGGGCAATTTAGCGTATCCAATTGTCCTGACTGCATGCAAACTCCACACAGAGGACCCTGGTCGCCCTGCCAGGGAACCGAACCCTGTCCCTTCTTGTTGTGCGGTGACAGCACTACCCACTGTGCCACCGTGCCGCCCGAGATTGCATCAATTTTTCAGAATTTCTGCAAAATTAAGTTGATAAGATGTACACCAAGTTCTTCAGAGTGGTCTGATGTGAAATCCTCCATTCTAGAAACTTCCCAATTTAGAATTGTTCACTGAGGAGCCAGACATCTACAGTATCTCTAGTTATTACATGGAATTGTTATGAATGCACTGCCCGATGCCTGACACGTTGTTTTATGACAGTTCTGAGACCAGCTTTTGACCTAAAAATGTATGTTTTAAAATCCATCCATGGCAGAGAGGAATATGTAAGGTGTTGTAAGCCAAATAGTACCCATCAAAGACTTTTTAGCTTTACCACTATTATACCATTATTTCCTATACGAACTCAGAAGACACTGATTAAATGATCATCTTGGTTAGCAAATTAAATGGCTATATTTGTTCTGCAGACATCAAGACTCCATATCCATTGTAATGAATGTGAGCTTCTCTACATCATTTCACATCAAAACACACAAAACATTACATCTCAATGATTGAATTATGCAGAAATTTTGAAACTTGGTGGAATTCCCCCTTCAAGGATGAGAGTAGTTGTTTCAAATAAAAAAAATGTATTGCCTTTAAATAAAATAGAAACCAAAGCACAAAGAGCCCGAAGTATTAACTGGGTGCATTTCACACGTGTACCATGTATGAAACTCCCACATAAGCCTAAACATGCAGTTTATAGGTCGTGGAAAAACACAAAAGGCACTTCACTCGATCATGCCTATGCATTTGAGGGAGGGCCATACAAAATGGGAGAGAATCACACAAAATGGGTGGAGATATTATACGTGTGGCTGGTTAAATATTCTGTTAGATTCACTAAAGTTTGAGCTTGATTTGAACTTGATTTTGCATTTATTTTCCTCCCTTTTAAAACTGGGTGAAAATCTGCATTCGAATCACAAAAGCTGTGCTGTTAAGACAGTTTTAACAATGTTTGTTTAGACAACGGCAGCTGACACAGCAACTAGACAGCACCTCAAACACGCGCTGAAAGAATTTTCAGCAACATTAAAATCTTGATATACATACATAAGAAGACACAAAGCAAGACATGCTGTGCTGCGGCAGCAGTATGTGTGTGAGGTCTGTGTCTCCTGTAAAGTGTTCCGGGTGAAGAGAATCTTCTCAATCACTTCAATTTCATGTCCTGTTTCGTCTCCATCTTGTTAACAGTTCCATGATTTCACTGCGTTTTTAGACTATGTGCCTTATGAGCGTGCTGTTAGTGGGCAGGGCTACGCTTAAATTCAGGTCCATGATGGGCTTGGTCAATTCATCAATATATGATGTCACTATTATACCAACTATAATTAACTATTTATTACACAAACTAAACTCACCAAAATGTAATCCTCCCCACTGGCGTCGTAGGCAAACAGCAGCAGCGCATTAAGTTGATCCGTTTTGAACTCAAACGATATTTCAAAATTATCTCCACCGGTGAACACCTCTGGTTTCAGTCTGAGGAACCCTGAGAAACAGGAAAATGTATGTATTTAAATGTATGATTCAATTATACATATTTTATCGTATTGGTGCTTATTGGTACAATAAGCAGTTAGTGCATCAATTGTTTATAGCACCCGCTTTATAGAGTCGTGTCCGTCTTTTCTCTCAATTCTCACTGAAAAACTACCTTGATGTGGGATAATTTCAGGTCATCTTTGACTGTGTCATGTTTGGGAACGACTTGGGTTGGAAATTGTGTCAGGATTAAACTATCTAGTATAGTATTTTAAGAACTGTGAGAAACGAACTGTAATATGGACACAATGCCACAAAGTCAGCTGTTATAACATCATCTCTCCCTAGAAACTGTTATGACACAACCTGAAGTCAACCAAAGCCCTGAAAAACAGGAAAATGTATGTGAATGTATGATTGAGTAAATCTAATATAATACTAGGATCTAATCTGAAGTGGTTATTTTGACCAATTTGGTGGATTATATGACCGCCTGGACTCCAGGATGGATGGCCAGGATGCTCACAGCATATCATAAAGCATTTATTCATGGGTTAGACCCTCATTTGTGTTTATTATGGCCTGCTGTCATATCAGTATTCCAATAACACTGCAATAACAATTAACAAACAACACATTGTGCAGCAATACTGTACAGAGGATACAGCAAAAGTGCCATAGCTATAAACAAAGAATCACAGACGGAGCTAAAATCTATATGGTCCAGGTGCAGTACCATGTCCCAGGAAGTAGGCTCCATGCTCAGAGTCGGCGGGACAGCCCTCCCAGCCACCATACGTCTCGTGCTCCTCCAGGGCCGAGTCCCAGTCTAACGGCTCCCAAACAGCCACAGGGCTACTAGCCCTCTGGACCAGTACGTCCTTCACGCAACCTGCAAAACCTTGTCGCACCAGTCTGGCTGGACCTGCACATACACAGCCAGTTACGTACAGTGGAGTTATGCCATTAAATCTTGAATTTAAACAGAAAAATCTGAATTTGAATGTTATCATTTTGAATCTGTATCATAGCATCTGAAACAGAACTGAATTTCTAGGTTCGTAAGAGAGCAATAAAAAATCTTAAACTGAATTTTACGTACAACCCGAATGCCTGAAATTCAATTTCTAAGGAAGCATTTCAGGCCAATATGTCTTTGGGAGCGACTTGGTTTAGAAATTTTGTCAGGATTAAAATATCCAGATTAGTATTTTAAGGACTGAGTGTGAAACAAACTAATATGGACACAATGCCACAAACTCAGCTGTCACAGCATGCCGTCTTATTTCACCCCAGAAAGTGTTAGGACACCACAACCTTATGTCCACCAAAATGTGTGTCATTTGACAATATCAACTTGACACTAAAGCTGACCAAAAAACACAAGTAATGCCTGTTGGAATAAGCTTTTATAAATGTTTATGTAGGTTTATGTCAGTTGTCAGGCTTATATAATGGCCATGCAGCCTTATTTGCTTGACCTACAACAAAGTGTTACCCAAATTTCTAATGCCATGAATCTAACTTCATACAAGAAGCTGTGCTGATCTGAACCACTGTGTTACCAGCGTCTTGTCGGTGAACGGTGAAATTCTCTGGAAGGCCTCCAAAGTAAACGCCAGTGTTTTGCCCAATGATGGTACTTCCACTGGTTGCTGATGCCGAGCCTGTTCAAAAGATCAAACAGAGAACAAACAAACAAAAATATAGTGAATAGAGTATAATATAATGTACAATGGAAAACACAGAAATATAGAAATAACTGTCTGTGGTAAATGACCATGTGCTACATAAGCACCAGACAGAAATTAGGTCGAAAACTGATGGAGTATTCCTTTAAATTAATTAGTACTGGCGGAGTTGCATAATACAAGCTGACACCGTCTGCAGTGTCAAAAGTAGATTTGAGTTTATAGATTTAAGTATCACTATTAATCACAAGATGACTGGAGATGTTCTTTGAGGAGGTGTAAATAAAGATAACCGTGTTGGCGTGCAGAGTTGGGATGTACAATACATACATTATCAGGACAGAATAAATAAATATTTGTAAATTTGATTTGTTAATAGTGGTGTATATTTATGTTTTCACACTGGGTTTAATATCACTAAAGGCAGCTTAAATACAGAAATTCACAATGTGTAAGACAGTCAAGCATCATATTCTTTACTCTGTATGTTGCAGCTTTACAGTGAACCCTCAGTTAATATTGCAATACTTAAATCTAACCTAGAAAGGAAGAGTTTCCTCTCTTTCAATTATGCACACAAAACCTGATTAAGTGCTAATAGCTCCCCCTGGTGGAGAGCGTAAGGCACAAGGATTTTAGGTGTATGTATTTAACCTACCGCTGGTTGGCCTACGTTTTGCTTTCTAAAACAGTGCAGTTTTCCTGTCTGCCTTGTGTTAAAGTCATCTTGTTAAAATTAAATAACTTCAAAAAGACAAGAAATCAAAAAGCAATGAAAAAAATTTTCAACATTACTTAAAAATATTAACAGGGAATCTGTTCTGTGTACAGTAATAAATGTGTAGTAAAGTAAGCATCACAATCCTGATGATGTGAAAGTACTGTGATATACACTATATGGCCAAACTATGCGGACACCTGACCATAACACTACCACACAGTTGCAAGCACATAACTGAATAAAATGTCTTTGTATGCTGTAACACTAACATTACCCTTACCTGGAACTAAACCCTGAAAAACAGCCCTAGACCCCAGACCAACCAGTAGGCAGCGCTTTCCTGGCATCCGCCAAAGCCAGAATCATCTTTCAGACTGTCAGATAGTGAAGCTGATTCATGACTCCAGAGAACCTTCCACTGCTTCAAAGTCCAGTGGCGGCGCTTTACACCACTCCAGTCGACGCTTGGCATTGCTCATAGTGATCATAGGCTTATGTGCAGCTGCTCGGCCATTGAAACCCACTCCATGAAGCTCCTGATGCACAATTCTTGTGCTAATGTTGCTTCCAGGGGTAGTTTGGTAGTTTGTGGTAGTAGTGAACAATGCAACAGAGGACAGCTACACACTACATGCTTCAGCACACGGCGGCCCCACACTGTGAGCTTGCAAGGTCTACCACTTCATGGCTGAGCTGTTGTGACTCCTGGAACACTTTCATTTCACAAAAATACACTTACAGTTGGCCGGGGCAGATATATTAGGGCAGATCTAGTAGGGCAGATTTAACCAAGAGACTTGTGGCAAAGGTGGCAGTGGGCAGTGCCACGTTTAAAGTCACTGGGGTTTCCATTCTACTACCAATGCTTGTCTTTGAGATTGCATGGCTACATCTGTTAGCAATGTGTGTACCTGAAATCAATAATTAGGAGGGGCGTCCACATACTTATGGCCATATAGTGTGCACTGGCAGGGAAGAAGTGTTGAGACTTTGGGATGGCTTTTAAAATTTAGCCTTAGATTTGAGATATTGTAAAAGAAGCGTGTTTGACTAAGTGGAAAAACTGCATCAACCCTAACAAGAAACGCACAAACCAAAGCATGCATGAATACACTTTTTTTTTTTTTCTGAAAATGTGGTGGTTTATTATTCAAGACTAAAAGAAGACTATCTGTGCAGTCTGCAATAAATGCCAAATATTCAATGGCTTCTGGTAGTCGACAGGAGATAATGTCATAACCTTAATAGAGTCACAGGCAGACAGAGCAAGACACACACACACACACACACACACACTCAGTCTAGCGCGAGTGGGTGCTCAGTGCGATGATTCGGAAAGCACCGCTCTTCTCTGCCAGTCTTAATTGAAATGCAAGTTCAGGAGAGGGAGCAGCTCCTGTAGTCTAATTATTCTAATCACACAATGAATGGCAAAGATTAACCTTGATAATGCCTCTGCTTGGAAATCTGCAGAAGCCAGGGCTTTAGAGGCATTGATGAGGAGGAGTGTAAGGAGCTGGCCTATGAATATGATAGGTGTGTGTGTGTGTGTGTGTGTGTGTGTGTGTGTGCACGTGTGTGTATGTATGTGTGTGCCATTACCACTGTATTGATCATCCACAATGATTGTTCCCACGGCCTGCTTCCTGGTAGCGATCAGGCGGTGCCACTGGTTGTCGTTATACCTCCTCCCTCCATCGTTTTGTGGACTGAGGGCCACAGCTGAGGCCTAACATCAAACACTTGAGGTTAATCGCACACCAATCGCCCCGCCGCTGCCAACACCGCTACACAACGGGCCCTAAGCTTTCTGGAGCTTAGTCCATTAGAGCAAGACCCCCCAGTCTTCCCCAAAGTCAGTGTAGCATATTAAGTATTAAGGCCGGACTGAAACACACCGTTCACTCTCCAGCCTATCCAGTCCAAAATGTGTAACCTAAACCAGTGAAAACTGACCATTACGCTGTTTTGCTGATGTCATGAAAAATCAACACATTTACATGTATCCACCTTTCGGCCTACAACAGTTTAGCTCCGCCCATTCATGCAGAAGTTATAAGCAATGTTTCGGCCTAGACTGCTTTTTGAGTAAGGCACAATACAGGACAGCCAATCAGAACAGAACTAATTTACATATATCAGTTTTAAAGGCACAGTAGCAAAACATCCTGTTTAATTCTATGCGATAAAGCAAGGTGGGAAAGCGGAAATGTAAAAATGAATTATGGCTGTTTTTGGTTCATAAAACCACAAACGTTATAAGTGGATCGTAGAAGAAAAACATGAAACGCAAGAAAAATGTAGGATATGGGCCCTTTAAATTATTTTAATGTTTAGGGAAAAAACGTTACCTGACTCTTAATTTTACTGTACAGGTAAACCATTTACCTTTTACATGCAAAGCACCCCATGGAACTGGCTTGTAACTCATTCACTCATTCACTTGTGTTTAGCAGGCAAAGATTTCTCCACAAGAGGGTGCTGTTAGCAGTTAAATAGCTTTCGATGCTTCATAAGATCAGAGCTTCGAATCAATGACTCCTGTTGGATATGCAGGGCAGTCGTGGGCTGGAGGTTAGGGAACCAGCCTTGTGACCGGAAGGTCGCCCGGTTCGATCTCCTGACCCGACAGTACGTGACTGAGGTGCCCTTGAGCAAGACACCTAACCCCCAACTGCTCCCCTGGCGCTGCGGATAGGGCTGCCCACCACTCCGGGCAGGTGTGCTCACTGCCCCCTAGTGTGTGTGTTCACTAGTGCATATGTGGTGTTTCACTGCATGGATGGGTTAAAATGCAGGGGTGATATTTCCCCATTGTAGGACTGATAAGGGTCACTTAATCTTAACACGTTTAAATGCTGATACGTTTTGACTTTCACTCAAGTATAGTTTTGGCTCAATTAGATTTCCACATCTAATTGAGTAAGATTTTGATCCAGTCCCTGTATTTTCACCCATGTATAGTTTCTCTGTGCTTTATCCACCCCTTGTCTTATTAAAGGTAAGGTTTGGACATATTTAAATTATTTTTAAGTTTTTATTATTTAAATTGTCAGCTTAGCAGTCTCTTTAAAGACTATCATTCATGCATGAAAGCTCGTGATGAACAGTTTAACTCACATCAGAGGTACCTGTTCATTGCAGCAGCATTATAAAACTGGTGCCTGATTGGAAAGCTTACTGATAAATCCACAAAACCTCGAAATCGGTCTACAATATTGTCCAATCAACATATCAGACGGGCTGTAGTAAGTGATCAGTACCTCTGCTTTGAAAACTGATGGTAACACCTTTACCCTTGGCCCAAAGTTGCTAGGTCGAACCTTCCAATGAATTCCACTGACACAGGAGCAGCTTTTTTGGTGGACAGCAACTTCCCCGTTTTCTTCCCAGCAACTTCTCCCTCCCTGAGGCACGCAGTGAATTCTGCCTGGAGATTGGACGCTCCATACGGGCTGTAAATTAGACGCTCTGGCATCATCGGCATTAAGATGGGGGTTATTATCTCGCTAAAATATGACATCACTCCGGCTGGCACTTTTAGCGGCCCTGGTGTAGCGCTCCGCAGTGAACACAGCGAGACACAAAGTATCGCGTCTCTGCCTGGTGATGAAGATTTAATGATGGAATCAATATATGTATGGATGCCAGGAGCTGCGATATGTTTACTGCAGAAAGAAGAGGGCTTTAGGTATCAGCCTGGGGAGGCGCAACACGCTGTCTTTGTACCCTTTATACCCCTATTCTCTGAATGGAAGCCTTCAAAAGGGCTTTCTGACTATCAGAGATCAATTCTGTCACTATGCCAAGAAGCTCTTCCGAGGGGAACTTGTTCTCAGGTCACAGTTACTGTTTCGATGCTCAGCACTGGACGTATAGGGTGGAGATGTTCCAAACAGAGGACCTGAGTCCTCTTTATCTCTGACAGTGAAAAAGAACGTTTTATTTTTAAGGAGAAGGAGACAAACGACCTGAACTTCAAACTTCACATATTTAGCTAACTGCACTGAAGCTGACGTTTAAGTTCAGAGGTGTAGTGTGTATTCAAATGTGCTTTCACTGCCTAAAATAGTACTGATTGTCCACAAAAACATCCCGAACACTCAATTCTGGTGGATATTTTCACATTTCTGCCATTCACAGGGAGATCAACGCCCAGACTTTCCTTGGTGTTAAGGGGAACCAACCTCCATGGGGCCCTTCGTCATGACAAAAATGTGGAACTGTCAAAAGCAGTACGCTGTATTTGTGTTAAAGAGGCACTAAGGCCAAAGTAAAAAACTATGGCTACATCTTTGAGAAGGGTCTGCCTGCAGACATGCACTCTTAGCCTGACATGCACCGCCAGCCTACTGATGACGTCAGCGCCGCTCTGCCACCACAGTGTTTATGTCAGTTTTATGAGGAACAACAGTGAAACACGCACTGGTGGGCAACAAGAGCTACACTGACTGCATATTTACGTTGTCATACTGATAATAAGGTAATTAAATATGGAAACTTTCAAAATAAAACCTTCCACGATGATCAGACATGAGTGTCGGGTTTCTTCACAGAAAAAAACAAAAAGGCTACTGAAACTCATGAAAGCCCAGCTGAAGGCGAAGAACCGCTTATCAAAACTGTAATATTGATTAAAATAGAACTTATTCTAGATGGTTGTGACAGCGTACAGTCAACGCAGTACCGATTACTTTCGCTGTCCCGTCAACGTCGTCGCAACTTCCTAGAAAGTTGTCAGACAACGCTGTCATAACTTTCTGAGGAATTACATTTCAATGTCACAACGTCACTGTGTTTGCAGGGCCGTTAGGAATAAAACCTGATGGTTTTGCTTCCTAACAGGAATTGGCTTGATGAAACATTAGGAAATGATCAAATGTATGTGGAATTAGTCCCAAAACAGCTGATTAAACAATCAGAATCCTTTACACTGTGATATCAACCTATCAGCGACTACTGGACACCACCAGGAACCAACAGACACTTTTAATGGGTTCTATGATTTTTTGAACAGGGAGGTTCGTTAGATGTAACTCTCTAACCGTGTTATGGACGAAAAATGGATTAAGTGATGATGTCACTAAGCAGAAGCAGCCAAAAGTTGCCGTTGCCGTTGGGCTGCTTCTGCTGTTGTGGCAGAGAGTGCATGTGCACATGACGTTACTGGAGCTGAGAGCGCATCTGTCTGAGAGCGCAGGTCTGCAGACTCTATTGACATCTTTTGTAAAAAAAAAATGCCTAGTAGCCTCCAGGGTGAGATTTTTCAGTTTATTGTCTAGGAAAACTCTCCTCTGATCTTGAAGGCAGGAGGAACTTTCAAAAAACTATGAGTGGACACTCATCTTAACAAACTACCGGTTGGCTACGAAGCCGAATATCATGTTTGTATTTATTAGCCTCTCCATCAGTGCATTTCCTCCTCGCTATGGGGGGTTCCAAAGGGTTGTATGATGTATTTGTGCAATGCATCCTGAGTACTGTAGTGAGAGAACACTGATGGGTGAAAATGCTGGGCTACCGCACATTAGATAACACAAGAAAATATAGGTTTTGGGCAAAATGGCTCTTTAACTCTTTAGGACACGATTTTTGCATATCCTCTTAAATTTACCTTTAAAGGCACTTAAATATAACATGATACCCATATATCTCATATTAAAATGCTCCATTATCTTTGTTGCTACTTTGCAAACCGCTCCAGCAACTTCAGCAGCTGTAAACTTTTTGCACGCCATTTCACATCACTGTCAACTGAATGAAGAATGAACAGTTTCCGATGTGATTGGTCAGTCCTTAGTGTCCATTAGCCAGAGAAAATGCAGACAGACACAAAAATCCACCAATTCCGCACGTTGAGAGGGAGATGATGTGTAGAGAAGGAAACACTGGAGGCCACACATCACACACATTAGTGTTGAGGTCACATTAGTGTGGGGGGGTCTGGCCTGCCACCTCTGCTGCAAAAAATCCTAGCAAAAACACAGCCTCATAACTTTCCTGCGATAACACGGAATTGAAAGGGCAACTCTACAGATTCAGGAACCGTATTTCTGTGCTGTATTTTGCAAAGATATAGAAACATCGAGTCTGACGCGCAGGCATTCTTGTCTACCCCAGAGTAAAAACACCTGCAAAACAGGCCAAGATCTACAGATGTCATCACTCATTTCCCAGCCTCTATATTTTTAGTTTACTTCCCACGAATGTGACTAATAAGGTGAACAAGTAATAAAAGTCGATGATAGATTACCAGCAGCCTCGTGCACAGCTGCCACAATACAGCTGGAGTAAAAGCGACAGCTATGACAAGCTCTCGGGTTTGTATTTGAGCTAACGATGCGCCGCCACACCCACTAAAAGGCCTGCAAAAAGGACACCTGTCATCTGCAACAATCAACAGTAACATGTACTCACCACTGAGCTACAGTATGAACTTTGTCCACAGCTATTCCACCAAACCACTGATCGAATAAGTCTCTCAAATCACCTAAAGCTACTTTCTTGTCCCTGTCTGTGTATATGCAGCCAGAATCCGCTTTTCATTTAAAAACACCCTGGCTCCCTTTTTAGAGACACTAATGGCCATACTAACAAGGCCATCAGTTTTTGTGGTTCAAATATCAAGTTGTAAACAGCTGTCCAGGCCTGGGAAACTACATGTTTACCACATCTTGTTGGCAAACAAACCAAATCTTTTTTCTCTTGAGTTAATGTGAAAAACAGTGTCTGAACTGGTCTCACTGAACAGATTTTATGCATCGAGCACCTCTGACAAAAACTGAAGGGCATTCCTGAAACCTTCATTTGGAAGAATGAACGTGAGCTAATAGCATTTCAGTAACTAGCATGCTTCACTTGTGTTATGGATGGTACTCTGGACATTAACCTCTTATTCACCAGGGTATATTTTGGTTTGTCCATCTGAATTCACATGACCAAATCGTAAGGCAGATTATTCAGTAACTGCATGAAATAAATGTAAATTTTTATTTTATTTATTTATTTTTTGTAAAAACTCCCCTCAAATTAACAGAACATGTGTTTTATGATCACACATATTGCTATATGCTTACAATTTACTGCTGAAAGCCAAAAATCTTAGACGCTCTTTGTATTATTTTATAAAAATAATTTTTACAGAGCAGATCACTGAAGAGACGCCATCTGTTTATAGTTTATAGCCCAGATTTGTGGAAAAATGGATCGACTTTCAGTAGAAAAATAAACTGTGAGTTCAGCTTCTTTTATTATAAGGGTTTAAAATGACATCACCCATCTATTTGACTGGAAAGAAGACAGTTACAGCTCTCATACGACCCCCACCTTTAGAATGTAGCTTATGAAATATGAAAGTTATGAAGAATATGACGAAGAGCGTTTTGGAACCACCGGTGGTCCCAAGGAGTTTAAGAGGTTAAAGGAGAATGCACTAGAGGCATATAGGGTGGGTTTTAGAGGGGGGCTGTATCCTTGTTTGTGGTGGATTTTGCCACAATCCAGCACCAAAGGTTTCACAGGTTGTCCACAAACCTGTATTCTTGTTACAAGATAAAGCCTGGCTCTGCTAGACTAGTTCTGGCCTAGATCAAAAATTATATTAGCTATTCACAGCATCAAAACTTATGATGCACTTAGTCTTGCGTGAGGAAAACTCATCTGATCTCATTGTTGTCCAGGATCTCTTTTTTTTATTTTTTTGCTATAGGTCTACGGCTATTAGTATAAATGTCTGTACATGACCAACAAAATTACATGGGCTTAATTTATTTGGCTATTTTTAATTATTACTACATTTTAATCAGTGTACAACGAGCAAAATACACCATGATACCTTCAGTACGTCCCTTCTGAACTTCTGAACTGAGTCCGCTGTAGCTATGACTAACATAATCCTGCTCTAAAACATTAATTTCAACATTTTTATCTTACTTTCACTCCATCATTCTTTCTTAAGCTTCATTTAGGCTTTAGTTAACGCTTGGTGACGGAATAAGTGGCATCAGTGTAGAACCCAGCATGCTCTTGGTTAATAGCCCTTGAATTTGTTTAAGACAGAATGCACGCTTTCAGTGGTGTTAATTCTGCTAATCATGCCTCTGGGCCTCGGAGAAGCTTTCTTCACTGTGTGCTTTCCACCCTCCAGTATCTTCGAGTTCCTCAATAAGGAGACGATGGAGGGGAGAAAAAAAACTGGCATCATTTGCGACAGCTTTTACAGGAACCAAATATTCTTTCATGAGACAGCGTTTTATAAACTGCTCATTAATTTCATCATTAGAAAGAGTGTGTGGGGAAGCATACCAGTTTCCTGTGTCACGGCCAATTAGCGTCCCATGGTGCTAATCCCATTAGAATTGTTGAATTCGTTAATGGGGGAACTAATGGGCACGCTATCAGGGGACATTAATTGGGCATGACACCACTTTTAGTTATAATTATCAAACTACCCCCCGACAAAATATGTTTATGAATGCAAAACTGGCGAGAATCGGCGGCGGTGGATATTGGTGGGGAGAGATCGGCGGTGGTCCCGTGGACACTAATGCAGAAATCATCTTTCATGATGGCTTTCATCATCAGAGCGACACACTCGAGCCGGCGAGGTGGCATTGCGCTGTGACATAATTAGCATGCTACTGCTGTTGCCTTACCAGTGACTGCGGGTAACGAGTTAATTGGCCTCCAATTCAAACATTGTTTTAGTTTGAAAGTTCTCCGCAGCAAAAAAGGCAGTAGACAGAGTTTCATGGGATCAAAAACTAATTATTTCCCTCTTAAAAAACAATATTGGTTTTGGGTTTCACAAGGGAATCAAAAATGTTTGCCACACTAGCTTTCTACCCTTATATTGACCCATTTAAGCAGTAGTATCAGAACCAGCTACATTCAAGCTAAAATTCCTCCATTACAAGAACAGAAGGGCTGAGCTTGTACCAGATATCAAAATAGAATCAAATAATCTGAACACTGAGTACGACGGGAAACATTCTGAAGCAGTCTGGAGGGAATTTACACAAACATTCAACCCAATTTGACTCTTAAATCAAACTATTACCCATCATTCAATTCTAAATTTACCATGGGCCATATATCCACGCTTCTTTGCCAGGTCAAGGGGCATTTGGACAGGCTTCGGGTTTTGATGGTCATACCTGAGGGTCGAATAGAAAGTAGGGTCTTCCGCTGCGCATTTGCAGAACCACATACTCCTCCTGCTCTCCAGGGGACAGAGCACACAGGATGAGGCCGTCCTCTGCCCGTGTGCGGAAACTCAGCTGAAGACCTGCACAGAGACATCACACAAGCACAGCTATTAAAAGCCATCCTTTAGTGCTTCACCAGTGGCCAGTTTATGACCATAAAGAAGCCTCCTGGCTGGAAATTTCTGCTTGGTGTACCTCTCTCCACCTTGCGGTGACCGCAGAGTGACCAAAAGCAGTCACTGAAAGAAGTACTTGAGTAAGAGTAAGAAAGTATCCAGTGAAGAGACTATTCAAGTAATGAGTTACTTCACAGGACTCATGCAGAGCCCCCATACACAAACGCAATAGTTACCAGATGAAAGTAAAAGGCAACAGCTAAATCTTAACAATATGATTGGCCAACTGAACAATAACAAACAATTTTAAAGTACCAAATAACAAACACCAGTGTGAGAAGAGTGAATGTTTTCTTTGCGCAGATAAAACAGACCTCAGGACAGAAAAAAAACAAGCTCTTGCGAATCGTGTGGACCTGAATTTTTCATTGAATTGTACACACCTTTATTTTGGTTAATTTTCTATACCTGCAACCGTCCAACCCTCAGATATTATTGTTTAAAAAGGAGTTAAATTCCTGTATTCTTCTTTTTTGGTGGGCCTAATCTCTTCCTGGCTCCCTATAACACGAACACTGATATGACTTGGTTTAGGTAGTTTGTGTGTAAAACATATTTTGAATATGAGGCCACACACAGGCAATCTCCTCAATCAGTCTCTTCCACAGAAACAACCACCATTCTGTTCTGTTCTGTGGTGGAATTAAAAGTTCAACGTTACAACTTACTAATACAATATACTTCATACTTGAGTATAAAGTTTCATATATGACCCTAAGAAGAACAATTTACTCTAAATGTTTCCTAAGTAAATGTAACAGTAAATGTAGCACATTTCTACCTATATATCCTATATATCATCTATAAACCAAGTGACACTGATGTGTGTAAAACTCCAGCAATTGCACTGTGGTGTAGGTAGGTGTATGTTCACTTTGTTGGCGTACAGACAATACACTGTTAGAAATAAAGGTTCTTTACATTTTTCGTTCATCAAGGTACAAACAGTGTAAATGTTCCCTCAAAGCTCCAACAGTGGTTTTAAGGTCTGATTGTGAACCTTAAATAAGTTTCTCCAGGTGAAAAGTTCGTATTTGTACCTTTTCATAACTGAATGTTTTAAACAGAACAGTAAAATAAAAGCCTGGAGACGAGACGGGGTGTGTGGAGTCAGTACAGCTTAGAACATATCATTTCAGTGGATTATGGTTCAGTTATGTTCCCTGACTAAAGGTACTGAGATGGAGCCTTGAGGGTTCCACCCCAGTGACGAGGGGAACTGACCCAGAGACAGTTTAGTACCTTTATTTCTCAGAGTGTTGCCAATCTTTAACCATATGTAATTTTGTTATTAATTTTCCAGTCTTATCAGTGTTGAGTTTCTAACAACAGAACCGCTCTTGGCTTTGTATTTAGAGGTGGTGAACCACTCCTGACCTAGCGGTCACAGTGATGTGTGTGTTGAGAACGGTTCACCATTCAAATTATATGTAATTAACAGTGGTCTAGTCATCAAAAACTGACCAACAATCAATGGAGTAGAAGGTGGCTGGCAAATTGTGCATGACAAGAGATTTGCAACAGTCTGTAATTGTACATAAGGTGTTGGGCCAACAAGAACAGCTTCACTGTGACTCTGCATAGACTGTACAAGTCTCTGGAACTTTACTGAAAAGCTGGAACACCATTATCCAAAAGATATTTCCTTTTCTGTGTTCATGATGGTGATGGTGAGAATCACATCAGTCCAAAATATATTCCACTGTTGTTCAGCTGGGTGGAGATCTACACATCTCTGTAGACCAATGCTTATGGTTTTTGCACCACTGAACTCTCAAATGTGCATTAGTCGTTTTAACGAGGGCTTATGCTCTGTAACCCTAACATAATATCCCTTTCTATGTAGCTGTGGATAGAGTGTTCTTGCTGACACAGTCTGATCATGTCCTGCACTGAAATTCTAAGTCACCAGTTGCTGTTTTTCTTCACATGCATTTTCAATCACAATCTCCAACTCTATTTAATGTGCTGAGATGGACCCTTGAGGGTCCCACCACAGTGACAAGAGGGGAACTGACCCAGAGACAGTTTAAGACCTTTTTTCTGAGAGTGTATTGAAACACTGTGACTGAAGCTCCTTCTATCTGAGCTCCCAAAATTACCCCTCTTTAAAATGTCACTTCCTTTTTCCTTTTGCCATCTTGATCCAAAATCAAGGTCAACTGGGTTTGCTCAGTATGTTTATATATATTTATAAATATTTACCATTATCGTATTATTATTTTTTCCACTTATTTTTCCAGGTTTTTCCTTCCATTTATCACCTGTATGTATATAGTGGACTTATAAAGCACTGCTTAGAAGAACAAAGCAGGTTTTTCTAACGAATGGAATGTGTAAATACAGATCTACTTGACACAATGGACACTTTGACATGGGAATACGATACACTAAAGATCCAGAAGTGTCAGGAAGAGAGAGTTGATGAGAGCAAGCCCGCATTCAGAACACCGAGCGGTCCCACAGCGTTCCAGATGATCTGATCTCCGCAGACTCTCTTCTCACAGAAGTGCTTTCTTTACATTCCCTTCAGCTCCGCTGTTAATAAAACCCTCCACCATCTGACCTTAAATCAGACATAAAAACACCTTTGAAGTAATATCCCTCTTCATTGCAGTTAATTAATATGTTGAGGGCTCCGAGTCCAAATGCTCTCAAATACAGACTATACAGATTAAACAGATTCTACTTAATCTATCATTCACTCTCAAGTGGATTGAAGTAGTTGCAAGTCTGACTGACCTCATGTAAAAGCATCAGGATATTTCTTTGGGCTTCAGATCGACACGGCTGATAGGATTACGCCTTTGGTCCACAAAACTCATGAAACTTGCTTCACTTTCATGAAGCATGGCAAGAAATGGATGAATTGACAGTATATGCAGAGGAGAAAATGCAGTTTTATGGACAGGGCTAAAAAATTCAGATTCAAATCTACCAGCAGGGCTAATAAACTATATATAGTATACTGAGACAGTAAGTAAAATGTAAATAAAAACAGAATGCAGTGATTTGTGAACTCCTTCTGACCTTTATTTAAATAAAAAACAAGGTATTTAATATTTTACCTTTTGAATTCCATTATTTTTTGCAAACATATGCTCATTCTGAAAGAGATGTCTGCAAGATTTTCCAAAAAGGCTGGGACCTGGGCAATTTCAGACTAGGAACCTTGTAAAAGGTTCCAAAAAAATTTAAACAGGTGATGTAGTCATGCTTGGGTGTAAACTTAGCATCCAGGAATGGCCTAGTCCTTTATGAGCTAGGATGGGTCAAGGCTCGACACTTTGTAAAAAAAAAAAATGTAAACAGTTGAAGAACAACATTCCTCAACGAGCATTTCGTCGCTGTCCAATAAAAAAAAACAAGTATCTCCAAAATAGTAACTTTACAGGAGAAAGCAAAAACCTTCTTTACTTTCAATGTAAATTAATAGAAAACGTTTTCATTCTAAGCAATTTTGGACCATTTCTATTCGTCCAATCATCATGAAATTTTCACACAATGTAAAGGACAGCTGCTGAGCTCAAACAATGCAGAAAAGTAAAAATCGCAAAAAATGGAGATACACGTTTTTAATTGGATTTAAATTTAGAATAAGCAATTATATTATATTATACATATATATATATATATATATATATATATATATATATATATATATATATATATATATATATATATATATATATATATGAAGAAGGCCAGTTATATATCTATTTTTGGACTGTTTTCAACTTGATACAGATCAAACAGGATTTGTCAAATTACTGCTGTCTGTTTTTATTTTACTTACTGTCCCAACTTCTTTGGAATTGAGTTTGAAGTAGTGAGATTATGTTGCTATATATACACACACACCATATATTAAAATGTGCTGTTTAACAATAATGAGACATTGGTAAAGATTATTTAAAACAAATTACTTTGGTCAATTTACATAAACACTTTAATTCAGTAGAACACCTACAGAAAACACATCTGGAAGTAAGACTGCTCACAATGCACACATCAGGTAATAATAGGCCTGGAATCACTGATCAATTTAACAATAATTATAATTATTATGACAATAACAGTCATGATATTAAATTTATATTTTTTTCCCTTTCCATTTTGTATGCATCAGTGTTCTGCACTCCAATGCACTCCATGATCCAAAACTCCAGTCCTGTTTTTTTACAGTACACATGTACAGTAGTATTTTTCTTACCTAATGATAGTTATTTACGTCTTTTACAGATGACAATTTTAACACTTAAGCTTGCATTTTTTATGAAACAGCAAGAAGATGCTGAAGGAGAAAAACAGATCAATCGTACAAAACAGCAACAAAGTTATCATTCTTCATTTAGACAGTGCAGGACAAATTTATCCTTACTGAGATCCACTTATGACATCTTTATGGTTTCAGGAGCTAAAAAAATTCACATGACCATCTCATAGAATTTAACAGGCTTTTTTCGTTACTGTTACTTTAAGATTGATGTATATATGTAAGCTCTTTTCCGACTGTCTGGCCTGTATCGTCCCTCCGTCAAAAAGCTGTCCAGACTGAAACACTCCCTGTAACTTCAGAGTGAATGAGCGGAGTGAATGGCTGAACTCAGGCAGATGTATGAAAAATAGTTTTCAGTGATGGTACAAAAACAGTGAATTCAAAACTGTTTTTTTTTTAATGTTTAGTTTCCATATATGGACTGAGGAGTGAGCGGTGTGTTTTGAAACTTTTCTAATGTCTCGGTAGCTAAATTTTCCATTCCACCTTAAATAGTTCAGCAGCTCTGAAGTGCCAGAATGTAACTGCTGCTCCATTTAAGGTGGAACGGGAAAATTCGAAAGAGAAGTTGGTGAAAAAAAAGACTTCAGCTTCATATCACTGAAGAATTAGGAGTGGGCGATAA